ATATGGTATGGTTATTTGAATTGCAGGAGCATTGCTACCTTATTATTGCATTCATTTTTATATGTTTAAGGTTAAATTATCTATCAATGCATGTATAGTGCATTATTACAGTGCTGTCTTTTTTTCTTTTTACTCCAAAATAAGTTGACCACTCCAACTGTGAAATGAATACCTAATCATTTTTAGGTCTAAATTACAACATTGCTTCAGGCATTGATGCATATTTAATGACATATATAACAAGTGCAAAACATTGTCATAGTTCAAAAGTGATATGCATGAATGTGTAAATACAATATGGCTTTCTTGATCGCCAAGAATATCAATAACATTCTAGCGTATTTGAAACTTTCTAAAAGAGAAGATCTGGTCCACACTAACATCCATTACTATGCTGTTTTGTTGTTGTCATTGTATTTTAGATTTTGAATATACAATTAAATAACAGTGCTATTTTAGAGAAAAAAATAAATACTTGCCTTCTAAGATTACTTACTTCTAAGTTCCTGTGAACTGTTGTCAGGTCGCTTTGCACTTGAGCCGGACGGTTCATCACTACGCTTTCTTTTAGTACCTATCAGAGAATTTATAACAAGGTTTTTTTTATTTTTTTGTATGGAATCGGACAGTAAAGCATCAACAATAGAAAATATTTCCTACCATGGCTAGTCATTGTGAGGTGAATGATGCCTAGAAAAAAGAAATAAACATTATCATACATACATTCATATGACTGAGTCTGTGTGCTGTATGTCAGAGGGGCGCACAGTTTATATTTAATTCTGGATGTGAACCGAAGTCTTATTTAATCTGGATTGTTTTGATAATTAAGTAATTGATCAAAGGTTAGCAACAAACATATCGCAATTGTAATAAATCTGAAAACAGTTACTGTTGTGTCTGTTTGTATTAGTGCCATATCTTTAATTATGAAATGCATTAGTCTTGTTTATTGTCATGTGATTCATTGTGTCATATTCTTGCTTAATGTGTCCCACCCTGACTGGTTTAGGCTGGTTCAGACTGGTTCCAAACACTGTTTTGCACCTTTGAAGGGTACTGCAGAAAGTGGATGCCACATGAAAATAAATTGCAGATAATGAGAAAAAGATGTTGTTTTTCATTGCTCTATTTGCCAAGTGTATTTAAACCTCTAGAGTTCACACATCAAGGACTCTTCTAAGTGAGTAGGGCATAGGGATGCTCACTTCCGATTGAATTTGCCCTTAGTCCTTGTATAACCTAGTCTTTCCCATTGTCTTTTGTTGGTTATTGTATCAAATTTGCTGTTTTTCTTTCACGGTTCACGGGTATTAACAGTTTATCACAATTTCATCTGATGGATTATGTCTTGCACATTAGGACTTAAACACACAATCTGCACTTAGATCCTTCTTCCGATCTGATCTGTCATATTTGATGGCAACACCTTACAGTTACACTAAAATTTGGGTAGCAAAAAGAAAATGTATTGTTATATTACAAATAAAATAGACATAAAAATGCAAAAGGGTATGTCATTCAAGGACATGAATAAATATAACAAATACAACAGTTAACCATGCAGCACAATTAAACAAAAATAATAAGTACTTACTCTGCGATGAAATCACAAGTGTTCACGCTCAGTATCTGTATGAATGCTGCTGGCAAGATTTTTATATGAAACACATGCGGGTGGAGTTTGATGAGTGGCATCGGACTTTCTGTTGTTGTTGTTTCTAGGTTAAAAGCACACGAAACAAACCTTATACTATCAACAGGTTTTTTGTTTTTTCCATTTGAAATTGAATGAATGGTGAAAAATGGAAGTTGCATACCAGAATGGAGCCAGGTACATTAAGTATTGGGACACCCGCAATGCAATTCTCCAGAATCTCTTTACATGCTAGAGAAAATGAGTGCTCCCAGAAACGACTAAAGTAGCCAAACCTGTTCATGTGTAGGGAGTGTCCCAATACTTCTGTCCATATAGTGTATGTGTGTGTGTGTGTGTGTGTGTGT